GTCTGATAATCCAGTAGTTCCTCAGTCCACAGGCTGGATATCTCAGCTGGTCTTCGGTATATACTGGGATCCTGAAGAAGTCGGCTCCAATGGAATGGATGTGCTTAGGAAGGGAAGGGCAGAAGCTGCCTTCTTCTCTCCCGTATATCAGGAGAAGGTCTGGCCCAGATTAAAGTCGTATCTTCCAACCTCAAGATCCAGATTAAAGGCATGTGTCTACCACCTCAAAGGTCTGGACTAGAAGTAGATTCACCCACTTCAAACCAAGCAAAAACTCTCTTACAGGCGTGCCCTCTATCTGGACTGTAGTTCATTCTAGATGTAGTCAAGTTGACAAGCACGAAAAGCCAGCACTCTTCCCTTCCATCTCCTCAACAGCCTGTTCTGAAACTTGTTCTAGCAGCAGTGCTCAGATCTAAACTGGTAAGGAAGAGATTAAGAGGTAGCCGATTCAGAATAAGGGGGCTAGTGGCTGGGCAGGGATGCCACAGCTCCTTTTGATTTGCAACAGGCTGCTTTATCTTCCACTGGAGCGAAGATGGTTTAAAGTTTTGAGTAAACAATATTATTACAAAAGATTCATAGGGCCTTCCTTAGAGAGACTTTGCTATTACTTTCTTATTTTTTATACTAAAAACATTTTGTAATACCCTTTAATTTTTCAAATTCCTTTATTTTACCTAACCTTTTTTTTTTTTTTTTTTTGGTTTTTCGAGACAGGGTTTCTCTGTGTAGCTTTGCGCCTTTCCTGGAACTCACTTGGTAGTCCAGGCTGGCCTTGAACTCACAGAGATCCGCCTGGCTCTGCCTCCCGAGTGCTGCTAACCTTTTCTTTTATTCCTAGTGATCAGTCTTTGAATTTTCCAAGTCACTAACCTTGCTTAATGGTTTTAGCAATTAAAAATACTAAGTAACCTTTAAAGACATCCTGTGAGGAATGAGTAACGTTCAATGGTGCTGCTAATAGAGCACTTTCAAGCCAACTAATGAAAGTAATTCACTGCAGTACAAAAACTTTCATTTTAAAATGTCTATTTGGGGACTGGAGAGCTGGCTCAGCCATTAAAGGCTAGGCTCACAACCAAAAATCAAATCAAATTTATATTTTTGGTTGTGATATATATATATATATATATATATATATATCACTTTTTAATTCAGTAAATTTGAATTAAATGAGTATAATTAACACCAGATAAATTAAAATGTCAACATTTGGGGTAAAGACTTGAAGAGAATAAAAATAACTGTCATACTAGCCACCTCTTGTGTTGCTGTGACAAGTTCCCCGGACAGGTACAACTCAGGAAGAAAGGATTTACTTTGTTAATGGTACAGGAGGGTACAGGCCCGGGCAGCTCCATCTGTGGTGCCAGGAGTCTGAGCATACAGACGAGGAAAAGGACAGCTCTAGCTGGAACCTTCAAATGCCGCCCACAGGAGCCCATTTCTGCTAGCTAGGTCAGTCTCAAAGGCTCTACAAACTCCTAAAATGGAGCACCCAATTGGGGAGGGTTAGAGTTCAAACATAAAAGACTGTGGGTTACATTTCATATTCAAACAATGGTAGAATGTATTCTTCTCCCCCACCCCCACCCCCCACCCCAAATAGAGTTTCTCTGTGTTGTCCTGGCTGTCTTAGAACTCACTCTGTAGACTAGGCTGGCTTTGAACTCAGAGATTCACCTGCCTCTGCCTCCCAACTGCTGGGATTAAAAGCATGTGCCACCACCGCCCAGTGATAGATTGTATCTTTAAACATAGCACCCTAGGGTTTACCAAGTGCCTAGGAATAAAGGAGGAAAAGCCAAACTGCATGGTTTGAATGCAGTGCCATCCCTTGGAGAATGGGGCTGTGGGTGTGCTTCTCAGACTGCCCGTCTGTAAAATAAAGAACGACTTTTCCCCCACAGGGGGCTGTCAGTTTACAAAAAGCACTTTGATCAGCGCCTGACCTTCAGAAGCACTAGATAAAGGTCCAACTAACTTTACTTCAAAACCTAACTGTGACTGGGTCACAGCCACCAGAAACATGCTAGTTTACAAAAGTAGGGGTTTGTTTGTTACTATTTATAATTTTTAAGAATCTAAAACATGGTTGAGTCCACAAAGTTAAAAACTGATAAATGATGAAAACATTTTGTTTTCATGACCCAGGACAGAGTGTGAAACTCAACAGATATCTGCCTTCCACAAAAACCATCAGAGGAAATCCCCAGCATGTTTACATTTGACCATCAGCCACATGCTCTACATTATTATCCTATCAGTTCACCTGTTTGGAGCACACACACAGGGAGGCAGACAGAATTTTTGTCTGGTTATCATTCTTCATTACAGCTTTTGACTTAGGTAAACAACTTTCTAACTGCTGAAAACATTTGTAAGTTCTCTTTGTGATTGCTATTTAAAGTGATGATGAAGACTGTCAAAATACAAAAAGAACTGGTAACACCTTTGAAAGTAATAAACAGAATAGAAGCCAGATATAAGAAAGTCTATGAGCTCATGTTCATTCATCTGCCAAGACTGGAAAGTCTGCTCCAGGAGCTAACCGGTTTTGCTTGCTTCATTCTGCTGAGTACACCTGAGTTTCGGTAGTAAGGGCAAAGTATGTTGGGCAGCACCCTGACAGATTTCTTTTCCAACCAGGATTTCTGCCTCTCTACATTGGTGGCCTATTCACAGCTATTTAACAGTCTTCGTTTGAAAATGTGACAGATTATTACATATCTAATACATGTACAACTTTTAATAACACTTCTAAGCAACAGGTGTAGTTTATAAAACAATTTTATTCTTTACACATAAGTTATAGCAGATTAGCTAAAGTGGAGACTAATAAAATGCACAAAACATGAGGTACAAAGCTGCATTTTAAACTGATCATTTTTAGAGGGTTGTAGCTTGAATTCTAAGTTTGAACTTCAGAATTCCAGAGGCAAAAAGATCTGGTGAAGTAAATACAGGCTTGGAGTCAGAATCCTGGGTTTTGAATCCTGCTTTGTATATTTTCTACCCTTGTGAAATTGCACAATCATTTAATCCAAGTCTATTTCTTCACCTATAAAGTGGGGAAAGTATCTGCCTTGAAATATGCAAGGGTTCTGTCATACGTGTGTGTGTGTGTGTGTGTGTGTGTGTGTGTGTGTGTGTGTGTGTAGAAAATGATCACCAAGAGAGTACTTCAAAGGTACATCGGCAGTGAAGGGCAGGAGCAGCCCTCAATCATTTTAGCAATTACTCTGGACATTAATTCTGTAGTAACTAAATCTCAAAGTACAAGTTTTGTATATTTTCCTTAGTATTATAATGAAAATATTTTTTATAAATAGAAAACAGACCAAAGCCTGAAAATTTCCCTCATTCTATGGATAAAAATCTCCATAAAGGATATTTATACTCAGGTGACTAAAAAGTTATGTATGGGAAACCATTACTTATGAATTGGGAATTTGCCTGGTGGTGGTGGTGCAGGCCTTTAATCCCAGGACTCTGGAGGCAGGGGGAGGCGGATCTCTGTGAGTTTGAGGCCAACATGGTCTACAAGGTAAGTTCCAAAGACAGAGCCGTTACACAGAGAAACCCTGTCTTGAAAAACCAATAATTAATTAATCAATTAATTAATTGATATTCAGTTTCCCAGGATTTGATGAACCCCAGGAAAACTTTCAGGGTGGAAACGTTTATCTAGGAAGAGAAGTTTGCGCCAGATTCTGTTGGACACCAGATGGTGTCTGAAGGATGATCTCAGTGATGAGCGAGATGACAAGTGGCCACCAGTGGGGCCTTCTTTGTGGTATCAGGAAGAACTCCGAGTTTCCCTTCATAGTGTCTCCCTGGATTCCTTTCACACTTCTAGTAGTAACCCCAGGGAGCTGAGCATGAACGTGGCCTATCAGGAGCCCGTGAGATGGCTCTGCCACTAAAGCAAGCCTGAAGGCCTGAATTCGATCCCCAAGGTGGGAAAAGAAAACCTATTTCCGAAAGCTGTCCTCTGACTTCGCCATGGCAGGAGAGCGCCTGAACTCACGCACATCGTGCGCACGTGTACACAGACAGTAATGTCTTTTTTAAAAGTCGTGCCCCACCTTCCGTGGTCCCTTCACAGGGGTGGCCGCCTGCAGATCCTGGGTCTGCACAACAACAAGCCCAGCGATGAGCTCCCCTGCACGGAAAGTGCTCCAGCGCCACCGAGGAGCAGTCCACGGGACGTGGCAAGGTGCCGAGAGCCCCGGCGCTCGCTCGCAGGGAAAACTCCCGGGCGTTTTACGTTTTATTAGCTCCTTCTCCAAAGCAGATCTGCTACCGTCAACTCGCCCTAAAAAAAATCACTACGGAGCCCCCCGCCCCCCGAAACACACACCACACACACACACCTTGGGCGGCGGAGCCGACACACACACACACACACACACACACACACACACACACACACACACACACACACGGGCAGTACGGAACCACGAGTCGGCAGCACGGAGCTACTATGGAGGCCGGGAGTTCCAGACACACACACACACACACACACACACACACACACACACACACACACACACACACACACACGGGCAGTACGGAACCACGAGTCGGCAGCACGGAGCTACTATGGAGGCCGGGAGTTCCAGACCCTGGGCAGCACAGCAAGACCCCTTCTGAAAAACAAACCAACAACAGAATCACAGCCTCTGAGAACCGGAGCGGCTCCCAGCCACTCACCTGTTAGTGTCAGGGGCGGCCTCGAGGCGTGGGGGAGGACATCGCAGCACGCAGGCGCACGCCGCCTCGCCTGCCCCAAGTCCGTCAGCCACTGGCCCCGCCCACTTCCGGAAACACAGCCGCCCCCGCCCTCTCCCATCCGTCAGCCTCTGGCCCCGCCCCCTCCCAGTAAGTCAGGCCACTGGCCCCGCTCAGCTCGGGACACCCGCCCTTGCCTGCCCGCCTCGCCCTCCCGCAGTCGGTCGGCAGCTGGCCCCGCCCACCTCCCGGCCCCGCCCCGCCCCGCCCCGCCCCTCCAGGCAGTCCTCGCTGCTTCACCGGGAACCTTTCCTCAGCCGCGGCTTCGCCTCCCCGCCGGGGCGTAGCTGTGCGGGCCGCGAAGCTCCCGCGACCCAGAAACACTCGGGCACGGGCGGAGCGGCGGGTCTGTGTAGCTGCGCCATGGCCGCGTCGGCCTGGTGCTGCCTGCGCTGCTGCAGGGACGGCGGGACCGGCCACATTCCTCTCAAGGAGATGCCGGCCGTACAGCTGGACACGCAGCACATGGGTAAGGGCCTACGGACTGGACCCAACGGCCCGTGGGGGCCGAGGGCACGGGGGCGGGGACCACGTGACCACGCAGCCGCCCGGACACCCTGTGGCCTCGCTGGCTGCGGCCACCGAGCCGGGGCCCTGTCAGCGTCCCAGGGAGGTTGACTCCATCTCCTCCTGAGGAGTCAGGTGTTCCCAGGTGAGGAATGCGGGGGCGCCCGCCCTCCGTGCCAGGGTGTCGGGTGTCACCTGGTGTTTGCAGAATCCCGTCTTCAGCACTATCGTTCTGGGGGAGTAATTTCCCCCTCACTTCCTGAAGCCCAAACAAGGCCGGTTGCAGAAGGCAGGAGTAACACCTCAGGTCCTACCTTACCACTCCCACAAAGATCTCCATTGCTGGACTCCTTAGTCACTGTTGGGATCGCTGTAATTTCGTCTGACGCTCCTCTTGCATTCGGATCAAGCGATTGCAAAATAGAACAGCACTTTGCTCCTTCTCATCTACGTGTTTTTCTTCCCAGTTCCCAATGGCTTAATAATTTCTCATCCAACATTCTTCTCCCCCTCCGTAGCATCTTTTCCCATACACCATTACTTCACTTTTTAGATTTTTTTTCCCCCCATATATTTCCAAGCTTCTGGAATATTGTCCAGGGAGGAGAGATTTCCCAGTATAATTATTTCAGTTACTGTCTTTTTGTGGATTATTACAATAAACTAGTGCACTTTTGATTTCCCCAAATTTAAAGGACAGTGTATTTAAGTAACACATGCATTCTTAATATTTATAGCAAAACTCTCTTCTGCCCAGATAATCAACATTTCTGGAAACATTGCCCATTATATTTTCTATTGCAAAACTATATGCAGTCATTGTTCAGTACTTTGTACAACACCAATACAAATTTACAGTACTTTAATTCTTAAGTCTCTAGTGGAGTACAGTCTCGATACTTAAATAAATACCTTTAAATTCTGTTTGTTTGTCTGTCTGTCTGTGTAGCCTTGGCTGTCCTGGATCTGTAGACCAGGCTGGCCTTGAACTCATGGAGACCCTCCTGCCTCTGCCTCTGCCTCTCAAATTCTGACACCACCACTCTGCTAAATTCTTTCTTGCCCATCACTAGACAGTAGATGTTCAGATCTTGTACTTTCTCTCAGGAAACATTTCTATTTAGTTTACTCACTTACTGGACAAATATGGTGACAAGAGAGTTTGTGATAACTATAGAGGGCTATAGTGGACTTTTGAGCCTGTGCTGTGCTCTCTGTTCTGTACAACATTATCTCGGGTCTCTGTTTTCTTTAGGAAGAACTAACTTATATGTTTTTTTTTTTTTTTTGGTTTTTTCGAGACAGGGTTTCTCTGTGTAGCTTTGCGCCTTTCCTGGAACTCACTTGGTAGCCCAGGCTGGCCTCGAACTCACAGAGATCCGCCTGGCTCTGCCTCCCGAGTGCTGGGATTAAAGGTGTGCGCCACCACCGCCCGGCAACTTACATGTTTTATCATTCTGTTTCCCTTTCTACAGTGTTATCTAGCAAGTACCCTCAGGTGCTGAATGTAGCACAGTGATATCTTTTCCTAATTTCTTTTCTTCCATGGAAGTTTTTTTGTTTTGTTTTGTTTTGTTTTGTTTTTTCTTTTTCGAGACAGGGTTTCTCTGTGTAGTTTTGGTGCCTGTCCTGGATCTTGCTCTGTAGACCAGGCTGGCCTCTAACTCACAGAGATTCGCCTGGCTCTGCCTCCGAAGTGCTGGGATTAAAGGCATACACCCCCCCAAGCCCCCACCCCCTCGAAGTTTTTTCTTAACTTGTCTTCCAATAAATTCAAATTCTTCAAACACAGAAAAGCTTGATATGAGAACCACAATAAAAGAAAGAGGAGTGTTGCATTCGAAGAATGATTCAAACATGAATTGATCTTAAGTTGGAAACATGAGAAACATACTACATGTATTTGGATATGGAAAAATTATAAAACCTAAAGAATATACTTGGGCTTTTTTGTTTGTTTCATTTTTGTTTGTTTTGTTGGGTTTGTTGTTGTTGTTGTTACTTTGTTTTTAAAGGGGGCAGTCTTTTTATATTGCTCAGGTTGTCTCCAATTCCCGGGCTAAAGCCACCCTGCCCCCTCAGCCTTCCACATATCTTTGACCACAGGTGTGTACCACTATGTCCAACTTGTTTTCTTTCTTTTTCTTTTTTTCTTTTTCTTCTTAGGAAATATACAAGCCATATTGCATTACTTAAGACCATTTTGGAGTTTTGTACATATTTTCATTGACTCTTTTAATTGCAAATTAGTCTTTTAGGAACAGATGCCTTTCAGGGTAGCTGTTTTGAAAAGGACAGTACTTGTTCTGGTTTTTTTTTTGTTATTGTTATTTATTTTTGGCAACTTGACACAAGCTAAAGTTACTTGGGAAGAAGACCTTCAGTTGAGAAAATGCCTCCATCCAGATTGCCTACTGTAGGCAAGTTTGTAGGGTTTGTTTTGTTTTAACCAGTGATTGTTGTGGACGTCAGGGTGATGCCATCCCTGGGCAGGTTGTCCCAAGTTGCATAAGAAAACAGGTTGAGCAAAGCGGTAAGAGCAGGCCAGTAAGCAGAGGTCCTCTGTGGCCTCTGCTTCACTTCCTGCCTCCAGGTTCCTGCCTTAAGGACCTTCCTGTCTATGGATTGTGATGTTGAAGGATACTCTTCAGTCAACACATGGAGGGGTTGTTAGATCTGGTGCAAGTTCCTGAAACTGCTGAGTCATCTCTCCAGCTCAGAAATTGGGTTTTATCAGAGTGTGTGTGTGTGTGTGTGTGTGTGTGTGTGTGTGTGTGTGTGTGTGTGTGTGTGTGTGTGGAGGTCAGAGGACTACTTACAGGAGTTAGTTTTTTCCTACCATGTGTGTTCCAGGGGTCAAACTTGGGTGTCCTCAGACTTTGTGGCAGGTGTCAGCCCTTAAAATTTTAATTGAACAAACAAAAAAAATCTACTTAATCTTAACAGTGTATGATCTTAAAAGGACCGGTTTAGAATGATTGTTTTGTTTTGTTTAAGTAGGAACTCAGCCCTTTATTACAGTTGTCTAATTTTATTAGCCCCTCTGGAGGAGTGCCACCTAGTCCTAATATTTGTATCTGCTTAACTTATGGCTTTATTACAGGTGAGGAAATAATAAAGGCCATAGACCTTGGGAGTTAATGTTAAAGGATTTTTCTTACATATGGGAATTGTGCTGGCTCTTCATGATCTCTGATGGACTTGCTTTCCTAAGCCAAAATTCAGAAACAAAGTTCTAGGAGGTTCACATTTCAAAAGCAGTATTATTTTATTGTTGTCTATGAAGTTGTTTGAAATGAAACTAAAATTTTCTATGAAAATAAAGTGTGTTTAATGATGTTAAGATCTTATTTATAGTGAGGCGTTGTGAAACACATCTGTAATCCCATCATGAGAGCAAGAGAGTCAAGTCTGAGGCTAGTCCAGACATACAGAGAGACCCTGTCTCAAAACAAACAAACAACTTGCTTACATTTTTGCCATGTGTCTAACAGAAGCTTTCTTAGTGAACATGTTAAGATCCTAAAACTAGGTACTTTTCAGTGTCAGCCAATTCAGCATGAAGCCGGACTTCCCATGGTGGATATACTCACTCCTCTGCTCTTACCTGACCACTCCAGCGTGAGGAGGAGGAGGAGGAGGAGGAGTAAGTATAAGACTGGTGGTTGATGGCTTCTGTCTAGTAGACCCTCAGCTGTCTTTTAATAGATTGTCTTAACGCATTTGGTTAGAATTGAAAATTGTACCAATATACTAAGTGTTTTTTAAGTGTTTATGGTTGGCTTAAATGAAAATTGTTAAATTATCTAATCTGTTGATTGGTTAAAAATTAAATGAGTTAGTTTCCTTTTACTTATAAATGTTTTTATTTTATTTTATTATTTTTTTTGAGACAGGGTTTCTCTGTGTAGTTTTTGTGCCTGTCCTGGATCTCGCTCTATAGACCAGGCAGGCCTTGAACTCCCAGAGATCCACCTGACTGCCTCCCGAGTGCTGGGATTAAAGATGTGCACCACCGCCACCCAGCATAAATGTTTTACATTTTATTTATTTTGTGTGCATTTATGGGGGTACACACATGCCATGACTTGTATATCAAGTCCAAGGACACCTTCTGAGTGTCAGTTCAACCTGTGAGTTCCGGAGATCAAATTCTGGTGGTCATCAGGCTTGGTGGCAAGTTCCTTTGCCAGATAAGTCATCTCATTGACCCCCTTACAAATAATTTAAATGTTCAGCATAATTTAGTTTATTTGAAACATCTTAATTGAAAAAGACTTGTTGCTACAAATGAATATTATATACAATCAGCCTCTCAAAAAGTAGAAAACTGAGTATTTAAAGTAATTTATCAATATTCCCCATATTTGAGGAGACTTAAAATATTCCTGGTTTGTTGTTGTTGTTGTCTGAATTACTGAACAGGGCCTGGGGCAATGGCTTCGTGGGTAAAGTGCTTGCTGTGTTTGGATTCCCCAGCACCCACACAAAAAGCTGAGCATGACAGTACATGTCTGCAACTGAGGCACTGGTAGGTCAAAACAAGAAGGTCCAAGGGGCTCACTGGCCAGCCAGTCTAACCAATCTCCTCCAGGTTCCATCTCAGAAAATAAGGCGGAAAGCTGTGGAGGAAGACATTGCACTGACCTTTAATCACCACACTCGTGCACTTACCCGCCCTCTCCCCCACCCGGCCCCTCTTATGCACACAGTTAGTAGACAGATTAATGATGACATGCTGTGTGTGTGTGTTGTTTAGGAACAGATGTCGTCATTGTGAAGAATGGAAGAAGAATCTGCGGCACCGGAGGTTGTTTAGCCAGTGCACCTCTACATCAGAACAAAAGCTACTTTGAGTTCAAAATCCAGTCTACTGGTTCGTATGGTTTATAATTGTACTTAACTATTAAACATTAGTTATTTAGAATATCAAAGATAATTTTGATTATGAAAAAAATTTAGGAGATGGTTAAGAAAAAATCACGAACTCTTCTATACAGGACTGAAGTCTTCCCTCTGTGATCCAGGCTATATTAGTCAGTTTGCAACACGCCACCCCAGAACAGCTTCAAGAGTAAGGATTTATTGTGGTTCTTCATTTCTGAGGTTCATGGTCACTGGCTCTGTTGTTTCCCAGCCATAGTGAGGCAGAAAATCATGGGGAAAGACTGGTGTTGCAGAAGTTACCCACTCCATGAGAGCAAACTGTAATGACATGGAAGAGGCAGGGACAAGATAGACTCTGCAAAGGCATCCTCCCAGTAGCCTTCTTCCTCCCCAACAAGTCCTACTTCCTACTTTTTCACAACCTTCTAATAATCCCATCACACTATGAATACACCAAGGGATTAACCCCTTAGTGGTAGCAGAACCCTCCTGACGCAGTCACCTCTCCACGGTTGAATCCACCAGCAGGGATCCACATGGGCCTTTGAGAGGGACACTTCTTTTTTACAATTTTATGGAGTTTCTTGAATTATATGGCAAGTGTGTATGCCTATTAGGATCATAGCTTGTAGCAGTATTACATGTGGGGAGATTGGTGGGTTTTTGTTTTTAGTAAAAGCCGTGAAATCTTCATGAGTGACCTAATGCAGAGTAAGAAGACTATATGGAATAAGTGAGTCCTGTTCCCTAGACAATATGGTACTTCTGGAGCTGGTTTCTTAAAGTACTTTAATACTGGTTTTTGTTTTTGTTGTTGTTGTTTTTTTTAAGTGAATGGTGTAAATCCAGGTCTGTCCACTGTGCTATTTTAAGTTTCCTCACTGGCTGTGGACTGTCTTAATTACTGTTGTCTTCCCAAATATATTTTTCTTCTTAAAAGAAGCAAATAATGTTTGAGCCTTAAGCCTAGTAAAAAATTAGATGTGGATTTTTCTGTCAGGGATACTCTCCACAGTGCCATCCCTAGGACAGATGGTTGTTGCAGTGTTAGTAATCTGGTACACAGTCCTTTGGAGTAAGGAGACTGCAGAACCCTGTCTGCAAATGTTATAAAATCATTATTGTCACCTGGGTTATTCTCACAGTTGTCTCTTTGGGGAGAAGAACTATATACAGGTCAGAGTATTTCTGATGTCAAGATAGTCAAATCCAGACATGCATGCAACTTTCTGATGGATTCAGTCAATCCAGAAAGAGTATTGACAGCATAGAATTCAAAGCTCCTTCCGTGTGTAGCATTTCTTCTGATTTTAATGAAAACTGAAAGGTGGCAGCTTAAGAAAACGTCCAGGACACTAGATATTTTGTTTGGCTGGAGAAGAGAATGCCTGCTTCTGGAGATAAAGTTTGGTGGTAGAGTACTTATAGTGTGTGTGAGGTGCTGAATTTAGATCCCCAGCGTTAAGAAAATGATGGTGTCTCTTATTCATGTTTAACCTTTGTGTTCTTTGTGTTATTGTTCATAGCAGATATACTTGTTACTCATTATAAATATAACTAAAGACAGTAACCTCACATTTCTTAGAGACAGAGGGGGGCAGGAGTGTGCTTTGCTGGGAATTGAGCCCAAGGCCAAGACTACCACAAAGTGTGCTCCCACCTCTAGCCCTACAGTGCTTTAAAAAAAAAAATCTTAAGAGAAAATAGTAATGGTAATAGCTAGCATTTTTTAAATACCCAGTGTGTGCTTTAGTTGCTCATTAAAAAACAACAACAACAACAACAAAAAAAAAACCCAACTTCTTAGCCTATCTGAAGTGCTGTGTTTGGGTAGTCCTGTATCTTTTCCTTACCTTGTGTCTTAGCTCTGTTCCATTGCTGGAAAGAGACACCATGACCAAGTCAACTTATAAAAGTAGGTATTGTATTGGGGACTTGCTTACAGTTTCAGAGAGTGATCCTCATGGAGTGGAGCATGGTGGCAGGCAGGCAGGCAGGCATGGTGCTGGAGCAGTAGCTGAGAGCTGACATCTTATCCACAGGCAGGAGGCAAAGACAGAGAGAGGCTGGGTCTGGTGCGGGCTTTTGAAATCTCAAAGCCTGCCCCCAGTGACACACCTCCTCCAACAAGGTCACATGCCAGACCTCCTAATCCTGCCTAAACAGTCTACCAACTGCAGACCAAGCATTCAAATATATGAGCCTTATGGGGGCCCTTCTCATTCAAACCACCACACCTTGTAAGTACTGTTAGACTCAACAGATAAGGAAATAGGGAAGTTAAGTACTTTGCCCAAGATAACATAGCTATGGTTGTGTGAACCTCAGCAATACAGCTCTTAACCTCCTAGTTTACCTATAGAGAACTTTGTATACTTTGCAGCTTGCTTTCAAGCAAACGTTGTTACTATTGTGTGTGTATGATCTGGTGGGGTGTGAAAATCGGAGCTCAGCTAAAGAATCCTCGGATCTGTCCTTTCACTTTCACCTGCTTCTCAGGTTTTTCACTATCTGCTGAACCATCACTCTGGCCCTGCAATCTGCTTTTTAAAAGGTTTGCTTTACAAAACACAAGGATATACCCTTAATGAAGGATTAAGGATATACCCTTAATCCCAGCACTCGGGAGCCAAGGCAGGTGTTTCTCTGAATTGAAGGCCAACCCAGTCAGTATACATAGTGAGTTACAAGTCCAAGCCAGCCAGAGCTACATAGTGAGACCTGATTAAGAGAGAGAGAGAGAGAGAGAGAGAGAGAGAGAGAGAGAGAGAGAGAGAGAGAGAGAGAGGTGATATTTCATTTTAAAATAACTTTTATATTTGTGTTCTTCAGACTTGTGATATATTTCAACTTGTATTTTTAGGAATCTGGGGTATAGGTGTTGCAACTCAGAAAGTTAACTTGAACCAGATTCCTCTTGGCCGAGACATGCATAGTCTGGTGATGAGAAATGATGGAGCCCTGTACCACAACAATGAAGAAAAAAACAGACTGCCAGCAAACAGCCTTCCTCAGGAGGGAGATGTAGTGGTGAGTCTCCTGGTAGAGTTCCTGTCCATTGTAAATTATTAAACTTGAGTTGTTTTGACTAGACATGGTTTTTCATGGCAGGTTGTAATTTTTATTCTGAAGCCCTGGGGTTGGGTCTAATGAAGTAGTACCATTTCCAGAGAGAACACTTGCCAGATACTGCTACCTCAACTTCACTGCCCAGGCCTTTCTGGAATTGCTGGCAGACCAGGATATGGAGATGACTGACCCTGTATTTCCATGTAGCAAGATCATTTACAGATTGGCTGCTAAGCAATATCTTACTGTCACAGACAAACCTTGACACATAATTTTAAAAGCTTTTCTGATCATATTACAGGATGTTAGGTATTTTTGAGGCCAGAGATCTCTCAAAATATTTTACATTTATTAATGGTAGGAACTGTGGTAGTTTGAATGTTATTGCCCCATAAGCTCGTAGGGAGTGGCACTATTAGGAGGTGTGGCTTTGTTGGAATGGGTCTGGTCTTGTTGGAGGAAGTCAAGGAGGGTGTCACTGTGGAGGTGGACTTTGAGGTCTCATATAGGCTCAAGCCACATCCAGTGTCTCAGACCACTTTCTGTTGCCTTAGGGTCAAGATTCAGGACTCTTAGAGTCTTCTCCAGCACCATGTCTGCCTGCACACCATCATGTTGCACCATGATGATAATGGACTAAACCTCTGAAAATGTTAGCCACCCCAGTTAAATGTTTTCCTTTATAAGAGTTGCTGTGGTCATGGTGTCTCGTCACAGCAATAGAAACCCTAACTAAGACAGAAACATATTACAAATGACAGCATTTTACTGCAAGTATTGATCTTTGTTAAATTTAATCTTGTTAAATGCCTCTACTTTTAGAACATTTCAAAGAACTGGACTCAAAAATCCGAAGGTTTAGAACAGAGCATAGTGACACACTTCTTTAGTCCCAGCAGTCAGGAGGCAGAGGCAGGGACATCTCTATGAGTTCGAGGATAGCCCACTCTGTATAGTGAGTTCCAGGCCACCCAGGGTTACATAGTGAGACCTTGTCCAGAACACAGTCACAAAGCTTGCTTATAGAAGTTTTTTTGTTTCAGTTTGGTTGTTGGTACTAGTAGTTTTAGCAAGTTTCAGGACAGCCTGGCTTATATAGCAAGATCCTGTCTCAAAAGAGAAAAAAAGATTATCTGCTAAAGAAAAAGAGACAAAAGGCATAAACTGTCATAAAGTCTGCTTTTCTTTTTTAAAGTAGTTGTATGTTGGTTAGTTTTTTGTTGTTTTGTCATCTTGACACAAGCTTGGGTCATCTGGGAAGAGGAAACCTCACTTAAGGGTGTGCCAGGGTCCAACCCACTGTGGACAGTGGCATCCGAACACAAGTGTTCCTGGATCCTATATCATATAAAAATGCAAGCTGAATGAGCCATGGAAAACAAGCCAGTAAGCAGCACTCCTCCATGCCTCTACTTCACTTCCTGCCCTGACTTCCCATCATGGTGGAGTATAAGCTGTAAAATGAAATAAACCCTTTCCTCCTCAAGTTGCTTTTGGTCATGGAGTTCATCAGAGCATAAAAAGCAAACTAAAACTAGTTGATTTTGTATATTAGGTCCTTACCAGATATCCATAATATGGAGCGTCCTCATATAAATAATTTTTTGGGGTAGAGTCTCACTATGCAGTCCTACTAACTGGCCTGAAACTTGTAGATGTAACAGTCTTATTAAATAAGAATCACAGAACTAAATGCAGAGTTAAAAGCCCAAGAGGTCAGAGCAGTAGTTAAGAGCTGAGACTTAAAACCTTTCTTACCCTTCGCTCCCACTGTTGTCCTTCCCCTCAGAAAGAGAGCTGCTTCCTGTGTATCTGTCTTTTTATTGACTTTCTGTTCTGCCTTCTCATTGGTTGTAAACCCAACCACATGACCTCCTCGTTACTGCCTATCTATACAGACCTCCAGGTCTTCTATGGTTGGTATTGAGATTAAAGGTGTGTGTCTCCGTGCTGGCTGTATCCTTGAACACACAGAGATCTGCCTGTCATGTGATCGGGATTAAAGGTGTGCGCCACCACCGCCTGGCTTCTGCTATGGCTTGCTATTAGCTCTGATCCCCAGGCAACTTTATTTATTAACATACAAATAAGCCGGGCGGTGGTGGCGCACACCTTTAATCCCAGCACTCGGGAGGCAGAGGCAGGCGGATCTCTGTGAGTTCGAGGCCAGCCTGGTCTACAGAGCGAGATCCAGGAAAGGCGCAAAGCTACACAGAGAAACCCTGTCTCGAAAAAACCAAAAAAAAAAAAAAAAAAAAGAAACAAATAAAATCACATTTCAGTACAAATAAAGTATCACCATAGAAACTCACTGTGTAGACCAGGCTAGCCTAGAAATCACAGCAGTCTGCTTGCCTCTCTGCCTTCAGAGTGCTGACACACATCAAAGAAGTGTACCACCAGGTCCAGCTAACTGATTATTTCTTGAAAGAGAATTTTGCTGTCAAGTTGAGGCTGTCAACCTAGTTATAATAAAAGATAAAATTGAAACAGATGTTTTCTTCATTGTAATACTGAACTAATGCATATTTTGCCTTCTTGTCCCATCTCATTCATTGAGATGATTGATACCACATATTAACAGATCTAAGAATGCCACTTGTAGTCTGTCAACATTATTATTAGACTTTGAATTTTCATGCCCAGCCTGATAAAAAACCAAGACCTAGAACATTAAGTGTATGCAGAATCAGGAAAGCTGACTGTGTCATCTTCCTGTCTAAACACTTGCGGATGAACTGTCCGAAGCTGTCAACAGTGGCAGCAGAAGGAGAATTGTAAGACAGGAAACTGTTGCTGTGTTTTATGGTATGGCTGTGACAGACTCAAACTTGGTTTTGATGTCATATTAGAAACAGACTAGGTTTGAACAATATTTGAACTGAACTCGACTGGAGGAGGTGGGATTCCTATATCTTTCCAAGTTTTTTTAGTTTTATTATCCTGATAGATGCCTAGTTTATAACTTAATTTGTAATGGATTATGCTGCCACAAGGTGGTAAAGGGTGCCTGAACTAAAGTCTCATAAAGAGGATCACATGTTTTGTTTCTTTTAATGTAATTATGTTTTGATTTTTAAAAATGAAAACAGACCTCTTTACTAAAAATGTGACAAATGTACTTTTGGTGTTTTTAAACTAAAGTGAAACAAACTATCACTAAGTCGTTGTTCAAGCTAGAATTGATGAGTCACACCTATAATCACAGAACTGGAGGGGCAGAAATAAGAGGATCACCTCAAATTCAAGGCCTGCCTGAGCTCTACATACTGAGTTCCAGGCTAGCCGGAGCTACTGGCTGAGACTCCACCTCAAATCAATCATTCAATGTATGTTTGTTTTTTATTGAGAGAGGGTCTCATGTCACCCAGGCTGGCCACAGACTTGCTAAGTAGCTACATAAGATGACCTTTAGCTTCTCAAAGACTGCCTCACCCCAAGTTCTAGACTTACAGGCATACACTACCACCCCCAGTTTCAGTGTGCAGGGATCAAACTTAGAGCTTTGGGCATACTAGAAAGCTCTCTGCCACATCCAGTTACCCAGAAATCTGTTCCTTGGTGGTGGTGGTTCTTTTTTTGGGTGTGTGTGTGGGTGTGGGTGTTATCATTTGTAAGAGCTCTCTGGCCTCTGTTTGTTCTTCCTTTTTAAAAATGACTGTTATTGTTGTGCTGGGTCTCAAACCTCAGGTCTCACTTAGGTTGCCTCCCAGCCCATGGTGTTTCTGTTCTTAGTTCTTCAAAGAAAGATTTAGTATTGCCACTAGTTAGTAGCTATAGGTTCATTATGCCTTATCTGAAATACTTGGGACTAGAAGTATTTCCAGCTCCATGGTTTTGTTTGATGTGAGAATTCTTATATATACACAGAGTTCTTGATGTGACGGGACCTAACTAAAGTAAACGTGGAATCTACCTATATACTCAGCTGGGAGGTAATCTGTATTATATATTTTATGTTGTCTTATTATGTGTCTGGGCATTTTCCCTGCCTGTATGTGCACATGTACATGCCTAGTACCCGTGGCAGCCAGAAGAGGGTGTCAAATCCCTGGACCTGGAATTAAAGCTGCCATGTGGGTGCTGGGAAGCAAACCCAGTCCTCTGCAGGTGCAGCTAGTGTGACCACTGAGCATCTTTGGAGTGGAAGGTGGTTTTTGTTGTTTTGTTTTATTTTTTGAGCAAGGTCTCACTATGTAGCCCTGACTGTCCTGGAACTCACTCTGTAGACCAAGCTGGCCTCAAACTCAGATCCACCTGTTTCTGCCTCCCAAGTACTTGGATTAAAGATGTGCACCACTGTGCCCAGCCACTATAAGGTGTTTAGAACTTCATTTACATTGTAGTAGGGGTGGCTTGCACATAACATGGACCACTTGTAGGAGTTCCCTCCTTCTACCATTGGGTCCAGGATCAGATTCAGGTTCTGTGTAAGTACATTTCCCCTGCTGAGCCATTTTGCTGGCCTAATTTGCACAGTATTTTTAGTATGCCTTTGTTTTGACTGTGGTCCATTATACGGCATCAGTTTTTTAATTTTCCATGTGTGGTATAATAATGTAGTCTCAGGGCTCAGAAAGTTCCAGGTTTTGGAGCATTTCATATTTCTGACTGAGGATTCCAACCTGTATTGTACAGCGTTTTAAAGAAAAGTAGTATATGGCATGGTGAGTAAGAGTGTTCTAAAGCCAACCTTATGGATTAAATCTCAGTTCTGCCACTTTCTAGCTGTGCAACCTTAGGTAAGTTACTTAACCTTTCTGTGCTTCATCTGCTTCATCCATTAAGTGGATATAGCTGTCTATATCCACTTAATGAGCATTAAATGACTAAGTATGAAATGCCTAGAATAATGCTTCACAGTGCAGACTGTCTCAGGTGACCTTCAGCACTTTAACAATATGATCAGTGTCACTTTTTAGCCATCATTAGTGTATACAGCAATGCATTTTGTTCTGTTTTTTAAAAAAAAACCTGCGGGCTGGAGAGATGGCTCAGCGGTTAAGAGCACTGGCTGCTCTTCCGGAGGTTCTGAGTTCAATTCCCAGCAACCACATGATGGCTCACAACCATCTGTAATGAGATCTGGCACCCACTTCTGGCCTGCAGGCATATCTGCAGGCAGAATATTGCATACATAATAAATAATAAATCCTTTAAAAAAAATAAAAAAAAAATTTAAAAAAACCTGCAAACTATTCTTTTTAACTGGATATTCAGCATCATTCATAATGAATTGTACATGTTGGTTTTACCTTGAGACCAGGGTGAAAAGAGAGAAATGTATGATTTCTTAGAAACGACTTGTCTGGGGATGCTTTGTGGGTAAGAGTACTTGTTCCTCTAAAGACCTGAATTCAGTTCCTAGTACCCATGTTGGGTGGCCCCAGGGGATTCAATACCCTCTTCTGGCCTCCTTGGATACCTGCCTCCTTATGTGAACATTCACAACCAGATACAGAAATAATAAAAATATTTCTAAAAAAACGATTAAATTTTTAAAGAAATAATATGTATCATTTAATCCATTCATGGCTTGAAAAGAGTGACAGGTAGTCCCTAATGGGGAGCAGTGTTTTTCCCATCAGATAAAATTCTAGAGGAAGACCAAGGTTTTCTTTATGGATTTAAAATAGTGTTCATGACATAATGGGCTTATTCTTACTATTTAAATAATAAAATTCAGGTTATCTAAATATAATACTGTAATTTAAACTCTTATCATTGTTTAACTTCCAATTGGAATTTTACATTGTAAACCCCCTCCCCAATAATCACTAGTAATGTTTTAGTTAAAGTGGTCTGCCAGGTTGTCAGCCCTGATAAAAGCTTCTGTGACCCCACACTTAGTTTCTGTGTGCATGCTTCTCAGTTGGTGCTTTAGGTTATTCAGGTTTTTGTTCAACATTTATATTTTTATCTTTAAATTTTTTTCTTTCCTTCCTAGGGTATTACATATGACCATGTAGAATTAAATGTGTATTTGAATGGGAAAAACATGCATTGTCCAGCATCAGGTATACGAGGGACAGTGTATCCAGTTGTATATGGTAAGCTAATATGTTACTCATCTATTAGTAGATATATGTTAACTGTTATTTGGCAATTTATATTAATTTTATAGTTATCATTCAGAAGTCTGAACAAGTTGCTAATAAGGACATTTCATGTGGAATGTACTCAGACCACTACATTATCTGCAGAATTAAGGATAATACTTAATCCATATATATAGTTTATTTGTTTTGTTTTGTTTTTCAAGACAGGTTTTCTCTGTGTAACAACCCATGTAGACCAGACTGGCCTCAAACTCACAGAAATCCACCTGCCTTTGCCTCCCAAGTGCTGGAATTAAAGGTGTGTGCTACCACACAGGTTTATTCCCTACATATTAAAAAGTTTGTTAAATATAGTGGTTGTAGTTAACCATCTACAACCGTGTACCCTTCTATTATATCATTTGTTTGTTTGTTTGTTTGTTTTTAATTTTCTGTGATCTGTGTTTTGCCTGAGTGTGTGTCTGTGCACTACATGTGTGCCTGGTGCCGGAGGATGCCAGAAGAATTGGAGTTACAGATGGTTGTGAGCTGTCAGTTGGGTGCTGGGAACTAAGTGAATCCTGGTTCTTTGGAAGAACAGCTAGTGCTCTGAACCATCAAGCTGTCTCTCCAGCCACCTATGGTGTAGTTTTATGTTCTAGAAAGTTCAAACTTCACTGAGTTTACAAAGTTTTTTTCTACTAATTACTAGTGAAGATTAGATGACCAGGAAATAAAATTGTAACAGGTGTTTTGGAACTAGGTAATTTTATGTGAATTGAGCATTTATTGTCTTTATAAAATTACCTAAACATTATCACTCTTCTGAGAGACATTTTGACTTAGAATAATTTCAGATTAACTGCTTTGCTTTTGATAAGCGGGTATGTATAAGTGCTATCATTTCTGTATGAATTGGTTCCTAAGAATCAGGCAGTGTAGATGACTCTTAATTCCTTTAATTTTTTTTATTATGGAAAATTGAAACTTTCACAGAAGTAAAGGGAATATTATACTGAACCCTCAGTACTTGGTCACCATCTGTAGCCATTCAGGGTTCTTCTACCCAGCACTTCTTGCCCTGCTTGGATTACTCTGAGGCGTCTGTCAGACACATCATTTTGTTAGTAAATATTTTATACTTACCTCTAAACTCTAAGGTCTTCAGGCAGGCAAGGTGGCACACACTTTTAATCTCAGCACTTGGGAGGCAGAGGCAAATCCATCTCTTAGAGTTCCAGGCCAGCCAGAGACACATAGGAACTCTGTCGCTCTGAAAACATGTAACTAATGCCTTTATCATTCTGTTCGGCTTTTATTGCTTATCTTGACAACTTCAGGTCAATAAATATGTGACTTTCTGCCTGTGGCTTACTGTCTAAAACATTGCCTTAATTATGTAAGTTCTTAGATTTGGGTTATAATAAAAGCTATTATTAACCTTTTATAGTAATGGTAGGCTAGTGTGTGAGAAGGGGGTGCAGCCATGGGGTAAATATTTAATGATAACCAAAGCTGGTGATTTACTTTTCAGTTGTGTCCCAGTAGTCTTCCTTTCTCCTAAAAACTCATTTTCAATGATTTTTGCCTTCTGTATTTTTTTTTTTTTTTTTTTTTTTTTTTTTTTTTTTTTTTTTTTTTTTTTTTTTGGTTTTTCGAGACAGGGTTTCTCTGTGTAGCTTTGCGCCTTTCCTGGAACTCACTTGGTAGTCCAGGCTGGCCTCGAACTCACAGAGATCCACCTGCCTCTGCCTCCTGAGTGCTGGGATTAAAGGCGTGTGCCACCACCGCCCGGCGCCTTCTGTATTTTTATATGCAAAAATGTGTATATGCTTTTCTTCTTTTTTATTCCTTGATAAATTCATGTGTATGTATAGAGCATTTGGTCATTTTTACCCCCATTACCCTCTGTTATCCTCTCCCACTGAGCCCCTTTTCCCAACAAGTCCACTTCTTACTTTTGTGTCTTTTGTTCTGCTACTGTTTTGTGACCCACTGAGTTTCATTAAGGTTGCCTACATGAGCATGGGATGTGGGTTAGTTACTGGGGTAAGTTAGAACTTACCAGTGGGACTCCACTGAAGAATGACTTGCCCTTCTTCAGCATTCATCCACTGTTGATAGCTTCTCAGGGAGAGGTGGGAGACTCATGGGTCCTTTCCACGTGTGGCCCCATCTTGAGGATAATGGAATGTTTCAGAATTTGTGTATTGTCTTTTCACAGGGGCTGTTCTAATCTCTATATCCATCCAATTTTAGTATATGTGCTACTTGAGTACACTGGGCATGGTGGCACAAGCCTTTAATCCTTGCACTTGAGAGGTAGAGACTGCAGATCTCTCTGAGCTCAAGGCCAGCCTTATCTACAAAATGAATTTCAGAACAACTAGAACTGTATAGATAATTCTGTCTCAAAAAACAAAACAAAAATTGCATTTTTAAATTCAGTGTAGGTTAGTGTTCTTACATATTGAGTAAGCTTAAAAGAAATTCTTTTAAATGCAAGTGTATCTTAGTATTTTAAACAAGTTAGTCCTGGAACTTGCTTGGTAGACAGACCAGCCTGGCCTTGAACTCAGACATCTACCCGTTTCTGCTCCCAGTGCTGGGACTAATGGTGTGTGCCACCACGCCCAGCTACATGAGGCACTGTCTCAAAACTTAAAACACTGGGCCGGAAAGGTGGCAGTGGATAAAGGCACTTGCAGCCACAGCTGGGAATCATTTTTCCTCCTTCCACCATGTGATTATGGGATTCAGACTCAAGATATCAGCTGTGGCTGCAAGTGCCTTTACCCACTGAGTCATCTTTCTGGCCCAATGTTTTATTTTGTTTTGTTGTTTGTTTGCTTGCTTGCTTGCTTTTATTTGTTTGGTTGGTTGGTTTTGGGAGGGGGTTGTTTTGTTTTGTTTTGAAGACGGGTCTCATGTAGCCCAGGGTGTCCTCAAACTCACCATGTAGCTGAGGATGACCTTGAACCTCTGATCTTCCTTTGTTCACCTCCTCAGTGCTGAGATTACAGGTGTGTGGGCCACTACTCCTGGTTTTATATGAACCCAGACCCAGGGTTTTGTGCACAGTAGGCAAGAACTTTGCCAGCTGAGCCACAAGAGAAAAAAACAATAAAATAAAAAAATTTAAATAAGTAATACATTTTCATCATATAAAATGGAGAAAAACACAGGCAAGTAAAGAATTCAGATTATTGATATTTTATTGATATTTATGACTTTAAGAGATCATTATTATTGTTTATATTTAAGATGGAGTGTCAGTCCATCACCTGGGAGGCAGAGACAGGTGGATCTCTGTGAGATCGAGGCCAGCCTGGTCTACAGAATGAATTCCAGGACAGCAGCACAGTTGCACAGAGAAACACTGTCTCAAAAGAAAAGAAGAGAGAGAGAGAGAGAGAGAGAGAGAGAGAGAGAGAGAGAGAGAGAAAGTGAGAGAGACAGAGTCTTACCACATTGCCTCAGGTGGCATCAACCTCCTGAGCTCAGGAGATCCTCCAGCCTCAGCCTTCCACATAGTTGAGACTGCAGACATACACCACCATATGTGGCTGGGATTATTATTAATAATGTTTTGATAACCTCCATATGTTTTTGGCAGAATTTGTTGTGGGTATTTTTACCTAAAGATTTTGCAACCCAAGGCCAGTTAGATGGCTCAGCAGATGAAAGCCTTTGCTGCCAACCCTGACATCTAAGTTAAATCCTCAGGACCCACATGGTGCAAGGAGAGAACTTGACTTCTGAAAGTTGTCCTCTAACCTCTGAGTGTGTACCATTCATGCACACATAAATACTTACACACACACACACACAAAAAAAAAAAAAAAAACCAATTTTTGAAGACTTCATATCCCAGATGGCTGGTGTTTTTACTCTTATTGACAATTAATATGATATTAAGGACTGTATAGGTGGTTCAGGAGTTAAGAGCACTAACTGCTGCTCTTGTTAGGACCTGGGTTCAGTTCCCAGCACCTACATGGCAGCTCACAACCATCTGTAACTCCAGGTCCAGGGGATCCAATGCCCTCTTCTGGATTCCCAGGCTCTAGACATGCACAGTAGTACACAGACATACATGTAAGCCAATACCCATGCACATAAAAAATTTTAAAATTTTTAAACATTATGATGTTAGGAGAATTGTTTTATGATGCTACAACTCAGGACTGTTGCTAAGCAGGTGCTCTTTCCCTGAGTTACATGCCCGCCTGAAAACAGTATGTTTTATAATTATGTGTGCATTTGAATATCCTTCTAATTTCATTTCTTTCTTATTCTCTCTTCTAGTTGATGACAGTGCAATTTTGGATTGCCAGTTCAGTGAATTTTATCATACTCCTCCACCTGGTTTTGAAAAAATATTGTTTGAGCAGCAGATCTTCTGAATGTGTTTGTTTTCAAAACTTGCACCTCTGCACCACCACACAAGCGTTCACCACTTAATAAAGCTCTCCCTGATCTAGAGATGAGAACACATTCTGGAAATTTCTCTTCTTACTGTTGTCAAAGGGACCCGTGTATTCATCATACCATACTGAAGTTGGATTTAAAATGTCTAGGCATTGTGATAGAAAAATCAGCATTTGGGGCCTCTTATTTAATCTTATTTAAACTAATAAACCATGGGTTTGATTAACAGTATTACGTGGTAACATGTATATAAATATTTAAAGGAATGTTTCTTATATAAAGTATTTGTTTGACAGTAATGTGTAACTGAGTGATTTTTTTTTTGTCATTCTGAGCTTGAGTCATCACATCTGTAAGCCAATAATTTTGTGTCTCCTTGTCCTTTTTGAGAAATTGAACTGGCAGTAACTTATATACCTGGCAGCTTAGCTTTGCTAACGTATTTCCTCTGTTCATGGACCACTTTTCTTAAAACAAACTGCTTCTTTTGCTGTGTTATATCACTGCTTTCTGTTGCCTTTTTGAAAGATGAGAAACTCTAGTTATCAGACCATCTTGTTGGAAACCATCAAGCTGAGTAAGGAGTGGTTGATTGTATGTAGTACACTGGCAGACATTTACAAGAGTTATGATGCTTTAAATCTAAATGAACCAAGTGTGGTGGCACACAACACTTGGGAGACAGTTTGAGGCTAGCCTGGTTCATATAGTAAGTATGAATACCAGGGCAACAAGGACTATGTAGAGAGACCCTATCAAAAAAAAAAAACAATTGTATGTTTGCTGTAAGGAATAATAAACATTTATTAAGGACTATTCAATATTGTATTTAAAACATTCTTCTGTTTTGTTTATTACATGGTAATAATTTTAGAAGTTTTGAGATAAGTGAGTCCTGACAATACTGAGCCTTTGGTCTTCAGTGAGTCCCTGTCCTTTAGTTAACACCATGACTGAAATGACCACATCTTCAGGTACATTCTCCTTCTCTGATAAGCATAGTCAGGATGCATCACAAATGGTATGGCGCATGTGCGTGGGGCAAGGAACACATGGGCGCTAGAATGCAGAGAACAGTTGCCCAATCTCCTGCCCTCTGCTGAGTTTCCTTAGAGCCTTGGGGCTCTGGTTGTTTCCCACCTTATGTAAAGGGTAGTTAATCATACTGATTTTCTGAGGGCCTGTAATTATTGATAGTTGTGTAAAATGCTTTAATTACCAGACACTTAATAAACATAGCTGCCTTTACTGTGAAGCAGTGGTTTTCATGGTGTCTCAGACCAGCAGGATCACTGAGGAGCTCGTTACAGTAGGGAACATTCTCAGAACCAACCCAGACTCCTAGAGACTTAGGAGTGGCATTCAGGAACCTGTGCACACTAATTTGAGAGGGGTTTCAAGATGTAAATTTTCTGAGGATTTAAGGTAGGCTGTTTTGTTTTTATCCCAGAAGCTATTGAGTTATGAACAATGCATATTTGTTATTTGGTAGACAAACATTTGATAATGTGTTTTGTAAACATGTATTTACTAAACCCACATTTTACCTCTAAAGATACATAGAATTCAACTTGATATGTGTTATTTATTCTTCTTCGTCTGACTTTCTGTTTTAAGAATTTTGATTCACAAAACAAAACAAACAAAAAACCAGAACTTGGGAAACTAAGGAAGGAGGCTCACAAATTTAAGGCCAGACTAGACTATGTACTGAAATGGTCCCTGCCTCAAAAGAAAGAAGAAAAAAAAAAGTAGTATGTGGAAAAGAGAATTCCCTACTTTAAGTATACTACCTTTAGTGGTCCTAATATATCCACTTCTTAGTTATGTTTTTAGATTTCTTTTGATTTTGTGTGTGTGTGTGTGTGTGTGTGTTTATGTATATGTGTACTTGCATGCAGGTACCCACAGTAGTCCAAAGAATGCATCAGATCCCCTCAGGCTGGAGTTCCATGCAGTTGTGAGTTGCCCATTGTGGGTCCTGATAACCAAATTTCAGTGCTCTACAAGAGCAGCAAGTGCTTTTAATGGCTGAGCCATCCGACCAGCCCCAAACTCTTAGTTATATTTTTAAAAGCTAACTTTTTAAAATTATTACATTGTTTTTTGTTTTATTTATTGTATTCAATACATCCCAACCAGTTTTCCCTCCCTCCACTCCTCCCACCGTGCTCCCTTTCCCCCAGATCCACCCCTCTGTTTCCCTTCAGAAAAGTGAAGGGATAGCCACTGAACATGGCATAACAAGATACAGTAAGACTAGGCACAAACCCTCATATCAAGGCTTGGCCAGACAACCCAGTAGGAAGGAAAGGGTCTTAAGAGCAGGCAAAAGAATCAGAGACACCCCCACTCCCACTGTTAGGAGTCTCACAAAAAGACAAGGCTAACAATCATAACATATATGCAGAGGACCTAGTGCAGACCCATGCAGGCTTTGTGATTGCTGCTACTTGGTTGGTATCCATGGGCTGTGTTCTCCTGGTGTCTGCCACCCCACTGGCTCCTACAATTCTTCCTCCTCTTCCATGGGGTTTCCCAAGTTCCAAGGGGAGGGACCCAATGGAGATCTCCAATTTTGGCTCTCTCTGCCTAATGTTTTGCTATGGGTCTCTGCTCCTATTAGCTGTCTGTGGAAGCCTCTCTTTTGTGATTGGGCTAGGCACCAATCTGGATTTCTGGCAGCCTGAAATGGTCTCTGGTCTCTTTTTCTAATAGGTATTTGTTCTTTGACAATTTTATACATACATACATATATATAATGTATCTTTGTTGCCATTTTTCTTTTATTTTTAAGATTATAACATAATCACATCAATTCCTCCCTCCAAACCCATATACCCCTGCTGTGGGATGGTCTGTATGTCAAATGTGTTGCTGATTGTTCAATAAATAAATCACTGATTGGCCCGTGGCCAGGCAGGAAGTATAGGCGACAAGGAGGAGAATAGAGCTGGGAAGTGGAAGGCTGAGTCACAGAGACACTGCCAGCCGCCATCAGGACAAGAAAGATGTAAAGTACCGGTAAGCCACAAGCCACGTGGCAAGGTATAGATTAATAGAAATGGATTAATTTAAGCTGTAAGAACAGTTAGCAAGAAGCCTGCCACGGCCATACAGTTTGTAACCAATATAAGTCTCCTTATTTACTTGATCGGGTTTGAGCGGCTTGGGACTGGCGGGTGAGAGAGATTTGCCCTGACTGTGGGCCAGGCAGGAAAACTCTAGCTACATACCCCTCCTTGCTCTTTTTCAAATTCATGGCCTCTTTTTTTTCATTAATTGTTATTACATGCATAGATGTATATACATGTATATTCCTAAATATAACCCTCCCGGTCTGTATAATGTTAACTCATCTTTGCATGTTTGCAGGGCTGACCATTTGGCACTGGATAACCAATTGGTGTGCTGTTCCCTGGGGAAGACTGTTTCTCCCACTCTCAGCGTTCCTTAGTTGCCTGGAGTTCTTTGTGTAGGATTGAGGCCATCTTTCCCTTGTCCACTTTGGCATGTCTGTTGTCCTTGTTCAATACATGTTTAGTTAGTCATGTTGATGAGACTTTCAGGGTCTAGCTTCTGACATTACACAGGCTCACTGCGAACTCCCTGATCCTCCAATCTTTCAACTCCCTTTTGTCTCAGAGAACAATGTTCACTGGGCCATAGGTGTGGGACTTGTCTTGTTAGATGTATATCCACTGGGACTGTATTCCACAACTCTGCATTTCAGTTGTTGTAGTTGTCTGTAATGGTATCCATCTGTTGTAAAGAGAAGGTTCGCTGAGGAATGAGGACTACACTCATATCTGAAGATTTAGAACTAGGAGCCTCCAATAAGAGAACATGCAACATTTGTCTTTCTGGGTCTGAGTGAGTTACCTTGCTCAATATGATCTTTCCATCCATTTAACCTACAAACTTAATGATTTCATTTTATTTACAACTGAATAGTATTCAATAGTGTACCACATTTTCATTATCCACTTGTTGGTTGAGGGCATTTAGGTTGTAGCCATATCCTAGCTATTGTGAACAGAGCATCAATGAACATGGCTGAGCAAGTATCAGTGGAGTAGGATGTAGAGTCCTTTGGGCATATGCCAATGAAGGGTGTAGCTGGGTCATACAGTAGATTATTCTTGAGAGTTCTCCATACTGATTTCCATAGTAGTTGCACCAGTTAGCTATCCCACCAATGGTGGACAAAGGTCCTTTTTCCCCACATCCTCTTCAGCATTTGTTATTGGTTGTTTTGTTGATCTTTGCTATTCTGACTACTGGGGTAATAGTTTCATGTCGATTTTTGGCCTTAATCCTTGGGTAAATGGGGTCCTACTCAGGAACTCCTTTCCTACATCTGTGACATGGAGGGTATTGCCTATTTTCTTCTAACAGTTTCAGTGTTTCAGGTTTTACTTTTAGGTCTTTGATCCAATTGGATTTCTGTGTGTGATGCTGGTCTAATCTCATTCTGTATGTAGACATTCAGTGATCTTCAAATCTGGAATTGCAACCCTCCAGCATTGTTTGTTGTTGTTACTGTTGTTGCGGATTGTTTTGGCTCTCTGGGGTCTTTTGTGGTTCTGTATGAGTTTTAGGGTGGCTTTTTCTATTTCTGTGAAGGATGAGATGAGTATTTTGGTGATTTGGGATTGCAATGAACTTGTAAATAGCTCTTGGAAAGATGGTCATTTTCACAATATTCTACTGATGAGATGAGAATGAAATGTCTTTCCATTTCTAGTGTCTTTCTCTACCTCTTTTTTTCAGAGGTTTAAAGTTTTCATTGTAGAGGTCCAGCACTTCTCTGGTTAGGTTTATTCCTAGATATTTTATTTGATGCTTTTGTGAATGGGGGTGTGTCCATGATCTTCTCTGTATGTTTGTTGGTAGTGTATAGAAAAGCTATTGATTTTATGCAACCTGATTCTGTATTCTGCCACATTGCTGTATTTGTTTATCATTTCTAGAAGTTTTGTGGTAGAAAGGGTTAATGTTAATCTGCCTTTAAATTCAGTAGTAGATTTTTTTATGCAATTGAGTGCACCAGAGTTTGGTACACATATGTTTAGGATAGTAATGTCTTCTTGGTTAACTGTTCCTTTGATAAGAATAAAGTATCTCCCATCATATCTTCAGATTAGTTTTAATTTGAAGTCTATTTTGTCAGATATTAGGATAGTGAGAACCATTGTCCATCCTTTTATTCTAAGGCCATGCCTATCTTTAAAGTCATGTTTCTTGTAGACATTGGTGGATTTTGTTTCTTGATCCATTCAGTAAGCCTGTGTCTTTTGACTGGAGAATCAAGGCCATTGATATTTAATGTCATTGAAATATGTGTGTTAATTGTGGTCATGGCGGTGTTGATTTTTGATGGTGGTGTTTCTATTCTTAGTGGTAGTTTGTATTATAATAATTATGGCTTTATAATTCTTTTCACAGTCTCTCTGCTAGTCTCATCCCTCTTTTCAACCCCAAATACTGCTTCCTATATTTTCTTTGGGTTTAGTTTGTTGTATATAAAGTGTTTAGGGTATTTATGTCATACGGAGTTGACATTCATGAAGTCTCCTTCATTCATGCTAGATAGGTTTTGCTGGCTATATTAGTCTGGGATGGTCATCATAGTCTTTTGGGTCTTGTAACACATTGCTCCAAGCTCTCTGGATTTCATTTCCATTGAGAAATCAGCTGTTACTCCTGAAGGTTTCCTTTATATGTGACTTACGTTTTTTTCTCTTACAGCTTTTAATATACTTTCCCTGCTCTGTATACTGAGTATTTTAACTATGATATGCCATGTGGATTTCCTTTTCTGGTCTTGTCTGTTCAGTGTTCTATGTGCTGCTTGTATCTGTATGGGTATATTTTTCCTTAGTTTGGGGAAACTTTCTTCTATGATCTTGTTGATGATCTGATCAGTGCCATTGACTTGGGATTTTCTTCCTCATCTATACTTCGAACTCAAAGTTTTTTTGTTTTGTTTCATGGGGGTCCTGCATTTCCTGTATGTTCCTTTCCTGTATGTGTGTTTTATTTTTTCATATTCCTTGCTTATTTGTTCTAGATACTATATCTTCCAGTCCTGACATTATGTCTTAATTAATTCTAATTGTAAGGCTTTCCCTTGAGTTTTCTCATTGAGTTATTAGGTTTTTCAATTCCATCTTCACTTTAGCTTGATTCCCCTTCAACATTTCTGTTTCCTTATCGAATTCCATATCCAAGGCCTGGATTGTCCACTGTGTTTGTTTTTCCTTGCATATTTCATGTCTTCAAAGCTAGTATCATGTGCATGATGCTTAAGACACTGTCGAGTTAAGTTCTGCTGCCTGTTGGAGATGTTGCCTAATACCCATGAACCACAGCTGTATCGGCTTCTGGCTGTTTGTTGACACAGATACACTTTCCTAGGCAGTTGTTTTTGAGGAGCAGGGAACTCCTTCAGCTTAGATTCTCTTCCTTTAAATGAATTTGGATCCCCCCAAGGATGGAACATCTTTCCTCTTGTCCCAGTACAGCACAGGAGGTTTCACTACAATGGTGCTGATCTCAGTTACAACT